AGAATATTGAGCGGCGGCGAATAATTATATTAGTGTGACGTGAGGCGTCTTGGTGCGGTCGGTGAGAGCGCAAGCGCGGGCGATCGTGTCGCAACGGTTGGTACAAGACGGAGCGCTTGTCGGTGAGTGCGTTCGTAGTATCGCGAGTCTGTTCGATCGTAGATCGATGCGGACTATTCGGCGGCGCGGATTGGTCGACGCGGTTTTGCCTGCCGGACGGATTACAATTATGAAATCCCGGCGAATAAACACGGTATGAGGACTTAGGCTGCCGATTACGTTCGGCGGGAGTACGAGGACGCTCGTACGAAGACGGAATTTAGAACAGCGACCTGGCTAGGTATGCGGAAATGCCCGCAATACAAAGTTCGGTGGCCTAGAGGAACCAAGTACGCTTGGCGGGTATACGAATATATTCGTATCCTGGAATCAAAGAATACCGAGGACGCTCGGCGGTACATGAGGATACTCGTGTGCTGGCACAGGTGTAGAGTCCGAGTATGCAGCGGGCTGCATCGTTACAAAATTTTAAAGTAATAATACTAATGCTAATACTATTTATAAAACTAACACTTTTACGAACTTTTAACTTAAAACTTATTTTAATTTATTTTATATCACCGTTTATATCACAAAGGGCGATAAATCCAACGATGAATCCAACAATTAATCCAACGATGAATCCAATTCTACTTGTATAATCTTCAAGGCACTGCAACATAGTTTTATAATATAATTAATAATTGAATAATAATTTATTATATTCTATAAATAAAATTTAATATATACATACCTAATCACTTTCATTTTGTTCCACTGCTTCATCCGGTTCGTTGTCCAATTCCTCTTCGTCGGCCCAATATTTTTGAGCCACATTTCGCACCTTCTTCCTCGATCTATTTTGTCGCTTATATGTCCTGTGGCGTTGTTTTGCCGATCTCAAGGCTTCTCGCATATAGCGTTGGAATTCTGATCGAGTTGGTTTTTCAAAATGTTTATTATTGGAAACAGCATCTGAAAAATATAAGAAATATTACATTTTATTATTAAAATTGTATTGCTTTTATTTTATGTACAAATACTGAAAAAAAGCTTACCGTAAATTGCCTGAATAATTCGCGCGTTGTACAAAGGCCGTGAGCCTTCTTCACGGGCAAACTATGTAAATGTTGCTGTCGTTTGATCTTTCATAACTTCTTTCAAACATAAATTAATTGCTTCCTTGGCTGTAAACCCGCCAACGTATTGTAGAAAATTCACCTGAAATGTGAAAACATAATTGTGTTTATTACACTAATTTATTCATTAAAAATCTATGCGTTTTTACATTAAAACTTACAACTTCTTCATACGTCTCGTCATTAACATTTTCAAAATCTTGCACATCCTTTTCCGTAGAAAGTGGCAAGCATGACACTTTTGTTACTCGGCGTCGATCTCTGTCTTGAACACATTTTAAAATTCGTTCTACGTTGTTATTCAA